CCTCTCCTTCCCCTCCTCCTCTGCCCCCAACTAGCCCCGTATCCCATCCCCTTTCTGTTCCCCAAGTAATGAGCAAAGGGGTCAAGACAAAGCTTGTGAAACCCACAAAAACAGCTGACCTGAACAAGGGGAAGCTCATGGACCCCTGACTGATAGCTGGGAAACCAGCATAGGACTGATCCAGACCCTCTGAACATGGGTGTCAGTGAGGAGCCCTTGGAAATCTATGGGGCCTCAACTAGTAGATCAGTATTTATCCCTAGCATAGGAATGGACTTTGGGAGCCCATTCCACATAGAGGGATACTCTCTCAGCCTAGACACACGGGGAAGAGCCTAGCCCCTGCTCCAAAAGATATGACAGGCTTTGAAGATCCCCATGGAAAATTACATTTTCTCATAAAGAACTAGGTAAGCCTGGAGAGATGCCCCAGCAGTTGAAAATTCTTACCGATCCTTCAGACAACCCAGGCTTGTTTTCTAGCACCCATATGGTGACTGAAATCTACCTATAGAGCAGCGATTCTTAACCTGTGAGTCATGCCCCCAACAGGGGTTGCAGATCAGATTTCCTGCATATCAGATATTCACAGTATAATTCATAACAAAATTACAGTTATGAAGTAACAACAAATTACTTTTATGGTTGGGGCCATCAAACATGAGAAACTGTATTAAAGGGTTGCAACATTAGAAAAGTTTGGAATAGCTGCTCTAGAGGATATGTCACTTATTTCTGACCTCTATGGACATTTGTACACACATCATGTACATTAAATCATGCAGACATTTACACATACACATAAAATAATATATATTAAAATTAAAAATAAAGAATTAAACATACAGCCTGCATGAGGCCCTCACTTCATATTTCACTACAAAAATCCTTTGTAATAGATAAATGACAATATATTAGGTACATTGTGCCATAATATTCATTTAGTTTGGTTGGATTTAAAAAGTATTTTTCAAAATGATTTCTTGACAATTGATTCTTATCTTTTTGGCTAAGAACCAGTGTACAGTTTTCCCTTAGTTGTGCTCATTTTTCATGTTTCTCACTTAATATCAGATAAAAATAATCCTTCATTGAAATTAATTAATAAACTTAATTTTAAACCATCCAGATTAGGTATTATTTAGGCTACAAAGTACTAAATGGGATAATAAACACTATACTGTTTATGATACATATTGCTTAGCATTTGTGACTAAAGATGTGTAGCATTTGATTTACTTGCACATATGCTTTTTGCTGAGCAGAATTTCTGGCATTCGGGAAGCCTAGCATTAACCAATGAATAAAGACCAATGGACTGAATTCTTTATAAGAAACAAGAGCTCTAACCCAGTTATTTGAGGATGAGTTGCAAACTTATTTATTCCCGTGATAAAAATAATGTTACATATTTATCTCACAATTCTATTACAGAAAAAATAGATCAATAAGAGCTGAGAAAAGTTAAAATTAAAATAGGCATGAATTCTCACTTTTGTGTTAAAACAGTGATACAAAGGAAAGATGGACTGTCAGGAGATAACTGGGTTTGAATATTAGATAACATTACCTTGATAATCTTTGGCTACATATGAAATGTATAATTATATATAGAATATAAATGTTAATTAATAGTGATGACTTTAAAATGGAAACACTAATTGCATAAATTAATCCAAAACTTGGTATTTTATGTTCCCTACAATATTCCTTGAATACACTTCTAGTGGAACTGGCTATCATAACACCAGAAGACATAAACCTCACAAAAATGAGCACTTTGCCTCATATATGAAGTTTGATCTTAAGTATAATGACATGAAAATAAAAAGGGAACATTTAAAAATAGGGAGGGTGAAAATGGTAGACAAAAGTGAATGAGAGAGCTTAATGGAGGGATTTAATATTATAAGATATATGTATATGTAATTTAATTTAATTTAATCCATTGTTTTATGCCATTAATGTGTTAACATAAAGAATTAAAATGATGCCAAATGAATTAGTAGCTACATGGTGTTCAAAATCATATATAAATTATACTATGCCATAAAATGTCAAGTGTTTTCTTTAAAAACATTTTGCTTTGGTTTCCTTTCCTTTTTTACCAAATACTTAATAAAACAACTATTATTTCTTCTCTCTTTATGGCCACGGGATTTTGAAGTACAATTCCCATGGTAAATGGCCTGGAGATTTAGGTCACCAGCCATCTGGTGGTCACCAAATGCTGTTGTCAGGTTGTAGGTAGTTAGAGCATTGGTAAGAAGCACTAAACACAGAATCCAAGAGGAAGACACTTCTAACAAATAAATAGTGGGAATGGTACTTTCTAGTATTTGAGGATACTTGGTAAGTAGACATTAATAGCATACTAAAGTTAGCAACTATTTTTCCTTGCACAGCTAAAGCACAGTATCTCTGTTACATTCAGAGTTCCCCACCTTCATTACTATTTTTTTCTTTCAAGCATGCTTATTGAGCATCCACTCAAGCTGAGCTTACCAAAGCAAATTTAGAAGTTGCATTGCACGATATAACCCTGAGTTTCATATCAATTTTCAAAACAATTTTGTGGTCTGGATTGTATTTTCTTATAAACTAATGAAGATGGTGAAAACAGTTTTCGAAAGGAAAGGCCAGATGAAAGCAAGAAAATGGTCAATACAAAATTCTAAGGACTTGAACACCTCACAAGAGAGAAATTCTGAATGGGTGGCTTCTGGGGGTTTCCAACAGTGAGAAGGTATAAGAAGACACTGGAAATACTCCATCCATGTGCTACCTTTGATTCTCTTGTTTTGCTTGTTGTGTACCTGAGCCTGGTCCTTCTATCAAGATCTTTTGAACTCAAAAACATACCAAGCCTTTAAATTTTATTTAATTGCTTCCATTGCAGCCTTTATAGTATTGTCTTGCTTTTTTCTCTAATATTTTCTTTCATTGTCCATGTCCCTCCTCCCTCATCTCTTCTCCTTTAGTATCAATCAAATAGCTGATCTGTTTTAATGTAAGTAGCTATGGACTGCTCATAAATGTTTTTATGTTGGTGATGAACCTGTTATTGAGAACACTCTGTATAGAGTGACATTTATTTAGGAGAAAATGATTATTATTCTCCCATGTTAAAGATTTATTTTGAATCTAAGTGCTAGTTGGGATAAATCTGAAATCATCCCATGGAATTTACAGGTCAGTTCTTTTTGACCCTAGTAATTTGTATTTTCAAATCCACTTTTGATTAACATTAATACGAGTTTCTTTTAGACCATTTAAACAATAAAAGAACATAGAATTTAGATAGTGAAAGCCACATGAATCCCATATTTGAGACCTTAACATTGCTGGTGTTACTGGTTTTTCTTCTTGAAGAATGTGTAAATTCAAACATGTTCACAAATATTCACTTTACTATTTTCATACTTTTTCTTGTTTTTCAGTTAAGTAGAAATCTCTCTAGAATTGTATATGCAGAAATATTCAGGTGAGCTTTAAAGTTTCATATTATTTCATTGTATGTATATCCTGAGATTAACGCATCCATTATTTACACTTTTCAACTGTATTTTCTGTGTGAATATATTTGTCACACATGTAATATTCGTTCTTATAATTATATATATATATATATATACATATATATATGTATGTATATATATATATATTTCAGAATATCAATATTTCAAATTTGTGGATAGCATTTAATTATAGGTTCTTTACAAGACACTTATTGCTATTCACCCCATTATTGTACTAGTATCCTTGTTCAGTCCTGCTCTATCTATTTCATCTGGTATTTACAATATAAACTTTCCACCTGTGCCCATATGGCAGGGTCTCCTCACATCACCTCTGCAGTGTTTCCTTTTGGTAATGGTAATTGCTAGATATCTATAATGAACAGTGTGCCCAGTCTGACTGCCTCAAGACATTCTTAGAGTACCCAAATGCAGGGAGTCAGTAATGAAGTAGAGTGATGACATGAAACTGACAGTCATATTGAGGCTGTAGACAAGCTAACTCATTGAAACTTGAGCTCAATGTTCCAGCTAAACTAGAAGCTGGTATCTCCAGGATCTGCTTCTCCCTGTATTTCCTGATCTGAACATTCACCACTGCTCTTGGCTTTTAAGCAGGTGCTGGGTATCTGAACTCAGGTCTTCATGCTTGCATAGGAAGCACCATATTTAGTGAAGTCATTGCTGCAACCCTATTTCTATTTAATATCGAAATAATCATTTGAAGTCAACTAAAATTTATTAAGGGAAGCAAATCTGGTTTGCAAGTTTCATTTGTTACAGCTCTTGTGAATAATTCATCAGCTCCCTAACACCGTGTATTTCTCCGATTGTGCTTCTTCTTGGAATCCTTCTTTCTATTTTCTGTGTTACACCATTTTAAAGTAGTAATTATGATCAAGCTATGGTTTACTAAAGTTCAAAAGCTTATTATTGATTTAAAAAATTAAAATTCTAATCATAGATACAAGATTATGTCTGGCCTGTCCTTTGTTATGTTCTCAATCACTCCTCCTCTCACTTATCTGTCTGCCTATCTTGATTCTTTGTGTGAACCAGTGCCAAAGCTTGGAGTTGTCCACATCCTCTTGAGTAGTAACAAGGTTATTGTCAATGAGTGAATACCACCATGATGAGTCACATCACTGAGATACTGCACTTTTCTCTTTCTTAAATGTATTGTCAGAGTGGGTGTTGAAAATTGCTTAGTTCCTGATGAAGTAATGTTCAATTTTTCACATGAATTTGACATAGTTCCTCACATGTGGTCGATAACTACAGACTATTAGTTGGAAAGATAAATGAGTTAAGGAATTTTCAAAATACTTTCTAGTGATAATTAAAAAAATTGTTTGGTTTTAATTCAGCCAGAAAAAAATTTTAAATTGGTGTCAAACTATTTATTTATGACAACTTCTTTTTAAAATTTCTTTGTTTTCAATCCCTTAGGTAAAAAGCAACAACAACAAAAACAAAATTTAAATGCTTAACGCAAATTACACAGATGTGTCTGAGTTTGTATTTCTGGGAATTTCAACATCTAGACCAATACAGCATTTCCTCTGTGCCTTCTCTATGGTGTTCTATGTAGTCATTGTCCTAGGAAACACCCTCGTTGTGCTTACAGTGGCCTTTGACTCACATTTACATTTCCCTATGTACTTTCTTTTGGGAAATCTCTCATTTATTGATTTATGTCTTTCCACCTTAACTGTTCCCAAAATGATTTCTGACCTGTACTCTGGGCACAATACCATTTCTTTCTGGGGATGTGTCTTCCAGATATTTGTCCTTCATGTCCTGGGGGGATCTGAGATGGTGCTCCTGATAGCCATGGCCTGGGACAGATATGTGGCCATTTGCAAGCCTCTCCACTACCTGAGCATCATGAGTCCACGGATGTGCCTTTTGCTTCTGTCTGGTTCTTGGGTTATTGGGTTCCTGCATTCAGTGGCCCAATTAGCTTTTGTGATTCATCTGAGTTTTTGTGGTTCTAATATGATAGATAGTTTTTACTGTGATCTTCCTCAGTTTATCAAACTGGCCTGCACAGAGCCCCACAAAATGCAGTTCATGGTTTCGGCCAACAGTGGATTTATTTCTGTAGGAACCTTCTTCTTATTAATTATCTCTTACATTGTTATCCTTCTCACTGTTAGAAAACATTCATCAGGTGACTTGTCCAAGGCACTCTCTACACTTTCTGCTCACATCTCTGTGGTGGTTTTGTTCTTTGGACCATGCATCATTGTATACATGTGGCCATTTCCTACTGTACCAGTGGATAAGTTTCTTGCCATTCTGGACTTCATGATTACACCCATCCTAAACCCAGCCATTTACACTCTGAGGAACAAAGACATGAAGGTGGCAATGAGGAGGATGGTTACTCAGCTACTCAATCAGAGGAAAATATCCTAATTTACAGAAGCACAAAAATGCATCTTCTGATTGCTCTCCTATAAGCATAGCTGAAGACTGCTATGTTGAGACAATTTCTTTTTCTTTATCCAGCCAATAAAAAATATTGCATAGCTCATTTCAAGTTAACGACAATAATGGTATACTTAAGTAGAGTTATAATTCATTTTGCGATGACTATACTTTTACTATCCACAGAAACCTGAGAAGAAAATAGTAAATTTCCAACCATGGTATTTATTTTTAAAGTTGACTTTATAAGTTATCTTCCTGTCTTTCTTGAGAAAAAAGGAATTAGTATCTCATCACACTTTTGTGATTTTGGCAAGCAAAGCATGTTCATTTTATGTGCTGATTCATAAATAGTACTTTTTTTTTCTTACATTATACCTTGAATTTGAAAGAAATCCTATATGTTGAATAAATTCTGAATGGATCTTATATTCTAAGAAATTGAGCTTTTGCTGAACTGCACAACCAATTTTAATAGTACACCTTGAAGTCACTTAAGACTTCTAGTCTACTGTGTACTTAGCCTGAATTTACAAAGACATTTTAATTATCATCCTTTCTTACCTTGGACTTCCCATATAAACAACTTTTATAACCTAAACCACAATCTCAAATTGTGTTTTTCCAAGCCTCTGGCCCAGATACATACATCACTTACTGAAAGCAACAAATACATAAGTAGAAAGTAACTTCCTAAAATCAACCATAAAGGCTGAAAGTAATAATTTATGGTTACTAGTTGATAAAAAATGATTTTTGTTTTCTAATGGGTTGGGATCATTTTGAGGTAGTGACTTAAACCCTTGTAAAACTCTTTTAAAAAATACTGTACACTCTCCCACTCCTTTACCATGGTTTCTATGCTGTTCATAAATACATAGGGAAGTCCTTGGTTAAATATGACAATCACATCACAGATTGATACCACTCACACACATAGCTCATAAAACACACAGACACAGATAGGGGTAAACACACAGGCACAGGGCCAAACAGGCTATAGGAAAGCCTTTGGGTAGGCACAGAATTAGACTCAAATGACAGACAGAGGACAGAAGACTCAGAGAACATACAGCAGATAATTCAACTCTGAACTCACTTTTGGTTAAATGACTCCAAAAGGAAGTGCTTTTATTTCTTTCCTGAATGCAACATAGAGGTATTTTTGGTAACTCAGATTTAATCACTAATGCTTTATAATCCACACACTGAAGAAGATTACATCCCCTCATCCAGAAATCACTAGCCTCCAATAGTCCCCCTGTAAGGCCATTTTCACCATCCTTGATGTTGGTGGTCCCAGTCCTGTGCAGTTATTATGCAAATGACCACAGCTGCAGTGAGTTAATAGTGCAACAGCTGCGCCATGTTCAGAAGATGTCTGTTTCACACATTCCAATCTTCTAACTTAATTCTTAGTGCCCCTCTTCTGTACTGTACCCTGATCTTTGAAGACAGATATGTATGTGTTACATATAGGTCTGAGTGTTCTACTATCATCACTTATTCTTAACACTTTAGCCAACTATAGGTTTCTATGTTAAGCTTCTCTGACCTATACCCATCATAAACTACAATAAAAAGTTTCTCTGTTGATGGTAAATAGCCACATTGATCTTATATGGTGAACCAGAGTTTGAGTATCCTCTCTTCTCCATGACATCTTCCTATAATTTTTTTTTTAAAATTCAGAAATCCTTTTGAAGACTTAACTTTGTTTTACCATTTGTTAGTTTTATGTCACTTATATTTACTCTGATTTTTAAAGTTGGCTTATCTGGGGCCTAGAAAGATGGTTGAGTGTTAAGGAGAACTTGCTGCTCTTATAGGTGACTGGAATTCGATTCCCAGCATCAAGTGGCTTATAACTGTATGTAAATCCAGCTCAAGGTATTCTATTGTTTCGTTTGTCTTGAGTGAGTGCTATCATGCATGTTCCAAAGACACACTCACATACACATAAATAAATATTTATTTTTTAAAATTTGACAGGCAAGATGTGCCCATTGATGCAATAGTGGCATGGCTGGTATGGTAGTTGACTATGTTCTGACAAGATTTGGGTCAGCACATGGGAATAAACACATCCTAAAGTTTAAATGAGAAAGTAGCATCACTTTTTCTCAACTACAATGTCAACTCTTCTATTGTCAGTTCTCATACTATATTATCTTTGACACTGTGTTGGCCATTCTATATTCACTTCTGCTTGGGAACAGTATCAGGTGGAGACATAATAGGATATGCAATACTGCCCCTACAATTAATAATATTGGGGAATTATAGATGCACTTAGAGGGCATTTTTAATAATTGCTAAAATGTAGCTAATAAAATTGTCTTTATTTTATTTGTTATGCTCCATATGCAATTTATTTATTATACATGACAAATTACTTTTCCATTATCTTTTCATCACTTAAAGATTTGCATAGAATTTGCACAATAAAATTTTCAGCATGCAAAAGGATAAAATTTTGGGAACAAAGACACTCACTTGTTCACCTGAATCACAACAGAAGTTCTAAGAAGTGCTTAAGTTACACACACAGTGGTAGCCTGCCAGTGCTACCCTGGCTGTCACTGCCCATGTATATTTAACTATGACAGTCACTGAGGATTGGAATTCACATGTTAGTTCAAATTGTAACACTATGCATAGAGAAAATAATGTTGTTCTCTCTTCACAGACACAATTTTAACCATCATCATCATTTTTTTAAATAGCATTCTTTATGCATCTTAGTAGCTTAACTCAAGTCTAAGTTTGATGAAGCATCAGAGTCACTTGAGGGCCTAATTCAGAGAAAGTAGGTGGCTATGAGATTTCCCCTAGGAAAATGCTAAAGAAAGCCTTTCCAAGTTGGGGTTCTATTTAAAAAAACAGACCTACAGAGATTTTCCACAAAGAGATTGTAAAGTCTACACTGAGAAAGAATTCTTATTAAAGTTGGTCAGTGGAGAAAATGAGCTCACCATCATCTCAGAGTAAAGACAAAAGCTAAAATAACTGTCATTAGCCAAGAAGAATCTGGTTTCACGGGCAATTCCTACAGGTAAGTTCATGACAATCTTTTTGATTTAGTAATTTCAGAATATTTTTCCCTGTGGATTTTTTTTTACTTCTAAATATGGATCTTAGAATTCTTAATGTGTTATTTGTGTGAGTACCATCCAGAAATATTATAGATTTTCTCTCCAGTGAATAGCTTTGGGACCCATTTGCTCCTTTGCTGCAGTTTCTCACACACACACACACACACACACACACACACACACACACAGGAAGAGAAAGTGTGTCCTACAGTATTTTACTTGGAGTGCAATTGCTTTCAAATGTTCTTTGATCTTGACATTTCCTAAATAATTTCAATATGTTTCCTCTTTTAGCACTTAATCAAATCAAATATGTTCAACTATTAACATCAACAGGGGAACATACATTCCACTATGATGACAAAATAGTTTTTTAAATGTTTTTAATAATAGTGTTCTATCCAATATTTGTTCATTGTTTCTCTCTCTCTCTCTCTCTCTCTCTCTCTCTCTCTCTCTCGTGTGTGTGTGTGTGTGTGTGTGTGTGTGTGTGTGTGTGTGTGTGTGTGTGTGTGTATGTTAACCTCCAGGAAGCTGAGTCATCTGTCATCTTTATGACTTAGTTTTCTCAAAGTCAAAGTTTCTACCAGAAGCCAAACAATCCTCACTGTATGTTATAGTCTGTCACTTTCTACTAATATGAATGAGAAAAGCAAGAGTTAACATATACCATGGTGAAAAAAATGTTTACTTAAATAAAAGAGGAATGAAATTTTAAAAGGACAATTTAAACTCTAAATACTATTTTACCTAGTACCCACTGAGATTAATATAGATAATATATTTATATCTGAGCTTTAAAATAAACATAGAACTTATTTAATAAGAATAGTAGGAAAAGGTAGCTTCTATTTACCAGGTTTACTCTGTAACTCTACAAATGAAACATTTTCCTAATTATTTCATATTCAACAATATATAAACCTATTTTATATAATAAATATCTATCTAATCATATTTTGAATAATAAGCCTGTTTCCAATTACTTTATATCTTCAAAAATACAGTAATGTAAAATAATGTTAAAAAATCCATTCTGACATTTGTCATCCTGTTTCCTTTAAATATAGACACATGAAATAGAATGACAAGGTCAGAGTTAAAAGATTTGGTATTCAGTGATCCCTTTGCCTGGTAGAGTCACTGTGACTTGCAGTCCCATCATTGATGTTGAGAAGCATTTCAGCCCACAGCAGCCACAGGGTTACTGCAGACACTGGAAGTGTCATAGGACAAGCTGGAACTGGTTTCTGAAACCTTTGACCTTAAAAAGAAATGTTCACCTAAAGTTAAAAAAATAATTTCAAGAGCTGGAGAGATGACTCGGTGGTTATGAATGCATAATACGCTTGAAGAGAACAAGAATATGTACTCAATGTCCACTTGTAACATCTGTGCATATCTGCACACGTGTAGCATACACACACTAAAAAACACAGAGCCCCCCCCCACACACACACACTTAACTCTCTTTTTTTTACACTCTTTCCAGCCCAGGTGGCTATTAATCAGGACTATTTGCAGTTTTAATAGCATTGAAGTCCCTTGCTATATGATTTTGCTTGTCTCTGAGAGTGAGGTATCTTCATATGTAGTAATGCAGAGAATGGGCATAGATGTTTAAATCAATCTTGGTCTGGATCATCTCTAGTTCTCCAGAAGAATGCATTTTGTAGTGACTATGTGGGACTAGTGTCTTAAAGTTGCAGGTTTCTAAACCTGTTCACAGTGGGGATAGGTATTTGAACCATAGCAGCACACCCTGGAACAACAGGCATTATCCTAACTAAATAAGAATTAAGAGGTTCAGACCAATGGGCAAAACATCAATAAGGAAATATCACATAGGCCATAAATGTAATACAATAAATTTATGTTGGAAATTGTCATCTATCATTTAACACCCTGTCTCAAAATGAAGTGCTTTTTTAAATTTATTTATTAGGTCTATTTAGGGAACAAGCTTGTTTCACATGTAAGTCCCTTCTCCCTCTCCCACCCCTCACC